TGTTGTTGGTGTTGTTGGTGTTGTTGTTGTTGGTTGTTGTTGTTGTTGTTGTTGTTGTTGTTGTTGTTGTTGTTGTTGTTGTTGTTGTTGTTGTTGTTGTTGCGGTTGTTGGTGTTGGTGTTGGTGTTGGTGTTGGTGTTGGTGTTGGTGTTGGTGTTGGTGTTGGTGTTGGTGTTGTGGTTGTGGTTGTGGTTGTGGTTGTGGTTGTGGTTGTGGTTGTGGTTGTGGTTGTGGTTGTGGTTGTGGTTGTGGTTGTGGTTGTGGGTGTGGGTGTGGGTGTGGGTGTGGGTGTGGGTGTGGGTGTGGGTGTGGGTGTGGGTGTTGTTCTTGTTCTTGTTCTTGTTCTTGTTCTTGTTCTTGTTCTTGGTCTTGGTCTTGGTCTTGGTCTTGGTCTTGGTCTTGGTCTTGGTCTTGTTCTGGTTCTGGTTCTGGTTTTGGTTCTGGTTCTGGTTGTGGTTGTGGTTGTGGGTATGTCTCAGCCTCAGATGAGGCCACAACCCCTTTTGCATCATCTTTTTGAGACATTTCGGGGATCGGCTTCGACACATTCCCATGATCAACAGTTTCTGCAGAAAACGGCCCGGCGCGTTGTGGAACTCACTGGACCTTTCGCTTGTCCCCTAGCCAGCAATCCAACATTGGGATCAGACTGGAGGGTTGCCACCACCCCTCAACATGGTAAGAATTGCCACCGCCCCTCAAAATGGGGATACATCCAAGCCAAGCTCTTTAGTAAGAGGCCAAGACTTGAGGCCTGGCTTTCCGCCCGGCGCAAAAAGAAAAAACACAAGAGACGACGCGACGCGACTTTTCGCTCCTTCTGGTTGGGGTTGTAGCGGTCAGTGACTTCCGCCAGCTCCTCTCCGGAAAAAAAAAGCGATGGATGGATTCCCGTTGGATGGTGGATTCGACTCCCCACCTAATTGATGTCTACGAAAGGGTACTCCACTACAGATCATACCCGTTTTGCATTTCGAGGATGGATGTAAGTAGAACATTTGGAACCCTTTCAGGCAGCAGTCTGTTGAAATTGATGGCACTACATAATAAAAACCTGGGACCCAACTCCAATGCCATCTGACCTAAACGCCGATGCTTTAAGGCTAGCACCCACATCCACTGGGAACGTTGCGCAACCCCAAAGGATGCCTCCAAACATCATTTAGGATTCGAAGCATGGGATTGTCAAAGGGGCCACAAGAAAACCATGGCATTCCACTCTTCCGCTTTTTCCAGGTCCAAAATCCCAACTGGTCCAAAAAAACAGTTGTTGGAAGGTGCATGGTACAGTTCCCTTTGGTTTCCCTTTGGTTTCCCTTTGGACCAATTTCAGTTGGGATTTTGGACAAAGAAGTCCCAACTGCTTCCTTTCAGTTTCACTTCCCCAAGACTCCAGGCATCCCGTCCTCGAAGCGAGCGTCCTCTGCGTCCCCGAAGGCCATCTTGTACCTGATGCTGAGACCAAACCGCCATGTTGGCTGGGCTGGAAGTGCTGTTTGTTCACTCTGCTTCTCTGGGTGCTAAGTTGGGGGGCTGAAAAAAAGTATGAATCTGACCCATCCCCTTTTGGGTTTTTTTTTGGGTAGTGACACTTGTGGGCGACTTAGTTCCAACACTGGGCTGGGTAGACTACCACTTGGGCTTGAGGAATACACCAAGGCCCCCTCAGCGACACGTTTTTTGTTTTTGAGGGCAGCAGCGCAAGGCTGTCTCCACTGTTTTTAGGTCAGAAAACTCGCGCGTGTGGTGTTTGTGTTTGTTTGTTTATTTGTTTATTTGGTTGGTTGGTTGGTTGGTTGGTTGGTTGGTTGGTTGGTTGGTTGGCTGGCTGGTTTGGTTGCTTGCTTGGTTGGTTGGTTGCTTGCTTGCTTGCTTGCTTGGTTTGTTTGCTTGTTTGTTTTCGATTGAGTTTGTTTGCTTCTTTGGTTGCTTCTCTGTTTGTTTGTTTGTTTGATTGTTTGTTTCCTTGCTTGCTTGCTTGCTTGTTAGTTAGTTAGTTTGTTTGTTTGTTTTGCTTTGTTTGTTTGTGTCTGTGTTTGTTTGTGTTTGTGTGTTTTCGTGTGTGCCTTTGTTTGTTTGTTGGTTTGTTTGTTGGCTTGGTTGCTTGTTGGTTTGCTTGTTTGTTTGTTTGTTTGTTTGTTTGTTTGTTGGTTTGATTGTTTTTGTTTGTTTGCGTGTGTTTGTTTGCTTGTTTGCTTGGTTAGTGTTCGTTTCCTTTTTGTTTGCTTGTTTGAGGGTATACAGCCTTGTTTACCTTGGTTTAAAAGGGGAACCAAAGGACAACCACCATCCCTATTTAAACACATACCAGCTGACTTGGTGAAACTGACACCCAGCAACATGTGCTTGCTGTCATTACTTTGGTCAATTTTTGTTCGGGTCCGATCATGTTTGTCCAACAGTGGAGGAGATCAAAAGTGGTTCGTTGTCCAACAGTGATCATCAAAAGTGGCGCAACAGCTCTATCATCATAAGGGCAATATGTATAGCACAGCGTAGATGGCGCGTGAATGGCACCCGAAATGGCACACTTGTAAATGGAAACGACCAGAACAAGCGTAACCCTAGTTCTTGATTTGTGGGCCACACGTGTTGCCTGGCAACCCTCCACAGTCGGGTCCCCGGCCGACAACACGGCTGTTTCTCCCGTGTGCTGCAACTGCTTCTCGCATCGGAAACATCGCATTCAAAATAAATCAAAGTGGTCGTCGCAGACCATATCTGATCAATTAGGGTGAAAGCCTCCATCGCACATGCTGGAATCAAACTGGGACTCGCCCTCACGTCTTCAGCTATTCACCTTACCAAAACACAGCTAATTGCGTGAACCTTAAGATATAAAACAATTTCAATAAATCCCAGACATAAGTCCAGACATTCTACTGTGAATATCAGTTGCGCGTGGGCGAGCCAATGTCCAAGGGACAACCGGTGCGAATAGTGCTACATTTCGCAGGGTTGCGTTTTATGTTCAACCCCCAGGGTGAAAGTGTCACAACTCCCTTTATGTGGGTAGGGGATGACACAAAACCACGGGGGAATTGTGTCACCTTTCACCCAAGAGGTGCCTCTTTGACAGCACCTCACTTGGGGCTCAACATAAAAACCCGCTGGGCCAAATGAAATGGTCTGAAACGCGCAGGGAACGCCTGTCTCAGGACATTCCAGGAACGGCGCGACTTGCCCTTTTGCCTTTCTCCTTGAGATGTTTTGTCACTTTGGGGGCAACGAATCAGATCTGCGCATGGGAAATCACCCGATGATACCAAAGTGGTCCATATCTATGACTACTTTCTCACTTTCAAGGGAAGGAGGTTTCTTAGAATTTCACAGTGACTGGCCCTAAAACCGCATTGTCCACGGGTTTCCGCAGCATTGTCCAAAAGGACTTGCACGACCCCTTTGGGGTTTCTTCCAATCGACTTTTCGAGTTGTTTCCTAAAATTGGTGAAGTTTTAGTTTTCCTTTTGGTTTCTTCCCTTGAACCGTTTCAAACAGCTTCAAAAAAGCGTCTCCAACTTTACAGCGGGGGCAAGGCTAAAAGCTCACGAAAACCTGGATGTTGACTATCCTCGACGGCCCCCTGCAAACTAATGCTGAATATTCCAGGTGGGCTTTGTAAATTTCAGCCATCCTGAGCTAATGATATGGCTATTGGGCGAAACAGGACAGCATGGGCACGGGGACATAGTTTTCTCAAGGTCCACAGTTCATCCTCTCACACAGTTCTGGTCTTGAAATGTTGAAGACTTTATGACCGATACGATGAAGAGCCATTCCCACACTCACGCGTCCAATGCTGATGATCTGATGGTCTCTTGCCCAGGTTGGTTCGCTAGAAGCCTGGCGTCCGGAAGCTTGGTGAGTCAAGCTACAATACCAGGACTGTCCATGTCATGGCAACCGCAGGTTCCAAAGTCATAGCAAGCTGTCTTTCTAGCCCCTTCCTGCGCATGGGTGCCCACATGTACTGGCGAACCTTGGGCAACATGATGACGATGCCCTGGAACAAACAAGTGTCGAGATCTCACCAGCTCGAAGGGCAAGGCTGGGCAAAGTTGTGCGCGGGACACTGCTTGGCAATATCTCACTTCAAATGCTCGCAGCCACCCGTGTGGCCGCTGGTAACGAGCAACCATGAGCAAGACCTGTTCCGTGCAAGGGTACGGCAGGAATATCGTAATGGGGGACTCCAAAATGCGTGGACATAAATCCCCAAAACAATATGTGCACCACAGGGTCAAACCAGGAATGTGACATCAAGGGACCTTCCAGGCTTGCCGAGCTCGTTTACCCACTAAGCTTTCGAATTTTGCCAGAGGAATGTGGCAAAGCCTAACCTGGAATCTGACAATGTGGCAGGGTTGAAAAAAAGTTGCAGTTGAGTTCTCCTCTACTCTTGCCCATAAAGAAAACTGCGCCCCTGGATTCTCTTGGCGGCAATGGTAACCTGCTGTTTAGGTCCAAACTCCCCTGCTGTTTGGGGCCGGGGTTCGGGGATGACTTCCAGGGCCCTGGCATTTGGTTATGGAACCCAGAAGCTCTCTCCGAAACGCCGAAACGCCCGTAAATCACGGATGACTCTAGGGCTACCTTCCATTTCCATTCCAGGGATCCTTCTTTTCAGGAAGCCATGAAAAACCCAGGGGCAACAGCCGGGTTTTGAAAAGAACGATGCTTGAAAAGAATGGGGAATCAATTCTAGAATGACCTGGAAGCTCGTCCACTCGAGTCCTGCTCATTGCTTCGGACCGTGAACATCGGGTCAAAACCGACCCGGGTCCGAAGCCTGACCCAGCGCTCAAAAAGCAAGCTCCAGCCGAATTCTGGCTCGACAGCTTTGCGGTCCCGGAGCTTTTGCCGAAAAGAAACGCTGGCACCCGTGGAAGCCGTCACTTCTTGGGCACAAAATGGAACGAGACTTCGGAATAGACAGAACTTGAAACCAGCTACAGGAAATTGCACTGGAACTCTCGTGGGTCCATGGATTTGCGATTTCCGGTGGAACTTCCACGGCCGGTTTCTGCAAAATACCACCCACTCGCACAAGTGCGATCTGATCAGACCCAGGTATGGAACGTCGGCGCCGTGGGAGTGTCGCGCTGCTTCTCCTACAGACTGCCGTCCCCTCGGTATCCCAGGCGAAATAGATCACCAGCCATCCTTTTGGGGTATGGTCCCATTGAGATGGGATCCCAGGGTTTCTAAATGGGACCCATACCTTCTGCCTTTGCCAAAGGCTTCAAGCCTCGCGGGATCCGATTCTTTTTGTCACCCCCTCAAGTGGCTTTGGCCGGCGCCGCATTCGCCAAATTCTGAAGTACCCATCGGCAGAGCTTGGAGCGCCTCGATACAGCAACTTGACACCTGTCAACCCGTATGCGCCACTTTTTCTTGTCCATACGGACTGGCCCGCAAAACATGGCCATGCGCTCACTGTTCAGCTTGTTGTCGACAGTTGGTTGAACAAATACGGGCTGCCTGTGGCCAAACACAGCTACCGGAGAGGAAAAAAGGACCACACGGGAGGGTTCTGTCCCCCCAAAAATGAGCATACGGCTTTCCAGGACCCTTCTGCGCGGCTTTCAGAAGCAGCCGAGAGGGCGATCGTGATTTGACAACTGCCATGCCATTGGTCGCTCAAGCAAAGCTGACAAACGGCCGTTAGTCAAACAAGAATACGAAGCCTGTTCAAGGGTCGTCCACATTCCCACCAAGGGGAAATACATGAGCTCGAGCAAAATGATTGGACAATGCAGTTTTGCCATTCAGGCCACCAAAGGGTACTCAATGACGCGATCCAAGTGATCTTACCCTAAAAGGTCAGCTAAATCAATTTGTTGTTTGGTTGCTAGCTGAAAGCTAACATGATTTAAGGACTCACCTTGGCTAAGGACGTGGTGCGACGTGTGGTACTATGAGCTGATCACAATAAACCGATCAAGGGGCCAGGGGATAGTTATGTAAGGAACCATGCACCCCCAAAAAACCCCAAGAACGCTGGCACAAAGGTAGACCGGTCCCCGCTGTTCGGGAAAAAGCGGGTGTTCTGTCAGTTCTCGGAGCGAGGGCAGCTGGCCAAGTGGCTTAGCAGGGATGCTAACCACTTAAGTACCCCTTGCGTGTCCAAGTGTGCGCATCTTCGCGTCAATGGGTACAACTGCTCCAAGTGATTACCCCGATAGGCAACGCAAGCTCAACCCAAAGGACCACCCCAAGCTCAAAGAACCAACCCAAGCTCAACCCAAAGGGCCAAGCCAAGCGCAATTTTTTAAATGACAAAGCCAAGCTCAAAGCAGCAAGCCAAGCTCAACCGCTAGCCAAGCTCAAGCCAAACTCAAGCGCTAGGAAACCGCAGGACCAAGCCAAACTTCAACCCAGCCGACTCCTCCAGCAAGCAACGCGCCACCCGCAGGTGTCCAGCCGCCGTTGCCAGCTGCACAGCCGTCCTCGATTGCCCAATTTGGCACCCGAAGCGCCACCCAACAAGGAAAATGAGGGGGAGGAGGGGGGGAGAGGGGTGAAACCGGAACAAAGGGGAAAATTGCTGGACAAAAATAAGACACAAATCTGGTCGAAAAAGACACGCAAAATGGAAGCCGCCAAGTACGGAAAGTAGATGTTACTGGCCCGGGGGTGTGACACCAAGATTTGCGCCTTTCTGACGCCAAGGGCAAAGCTCTGGCTGACTCTTGGCCAGTTCCCTGGAAAACGAACAGGGCCCACATAGCAATCAACATGTGGGTATGAATTTAAATCATTCCCGGAGCCTTTGGTGGACAGAGTTCGTCTTGCCTACTAACCACTTGTGAGGTGGTTCGCTAAATAGCCACATACAGGCATGGGGGTCTGGGAAGAAGGAGATCTCCACTGATGGGGGGAAGTGAATAAGCAGAAAGCTCTGTGTGCGCGCCATTTCCCCGGATTTTGTCGCTTGCCGCTGCGCGCATCACCTGGGAAGCCAATTCAAGCTTGGGCAATCTGCTATACGTACGTCAAACAACCAGACAAATCCCAAAGAACCTTCATGAGTGAGCCCGTTTTTGCGAAACCCCCCACCCCGACCCCCCGCCCCCCCTCCCCCTCGCCTGCCATAACCGTCGGCCTTGTTCATGTCGACGCCAACCTGCGAAGTCTTCTTTCTGATTCGGAAGCTTGTCAAACTAAACGGACGTCATTTTTCGGGATTGTGGTTTTGGTTGGGATTTGGATTTGAACCCGTGGTTCTTGTGGCAAACACCGGGGTAAAGCAGATCCACTGAGTCATCAGTGGGGGGGTCGTGAGTTGTCAAAAGGGGCGAACCGCCCAGAAATGGGCGGCTTCCCTGAAACAACCTCTTTTGTGGAGGTGCCAACTCAAATAAGCAACTTCCCCAAATGCCGAAGTGTCTACCCATCCGACAGGAAACCAAATGGGATGGAACCTGAACCTAGGGAATTAATCTGGGGATTCCCAGGGAAACCACGAAGAAATGGTCAGCTTCCCCGCCCTCCCCGCCCCTTCCCCCCCCCCTTCGAACCTGCAGAAAGAGTCGAACCAGCTCGAGATGCCCCAAGCGGCTGGCCTGGCCCATCGGATAGGTGAGTCATACCCAAAGCCCGGTTTAAACAACAAAAACAAAAACGATCAAAGCCCAGAACCATGCAAAGGATTCAATCCTTTGCATGGTTCTGGGTAGATCGTTTTGAGTAAGAAGTTTGATATCCGCGGCTGCTTATGGTTGAGATTGCCTCTTCACCTTCATCTACCCGGGTTTGATTGTGGCTCAGGTGGAGTGGCCTAGGGCCTCCACTTGTGGCTTGGACTGATGGCTTGAACTCTTTCCGGCTCCGTTGGACAGCCCCCCGAAGCGAAGGCGCTTCGGAAATCGAGCCCCGTGGCACGTTCCTAGGGCCAAACCCCGCACCATGAAATCGAGCGTGCGGGTTGCAAGGCCTGTCCTGGAATCCAACGAGCAAACAACTACTTCGGGGCAGCTGGCTTTCGCACTCGACTAATCACAGCGGGTCAAGTAAAGAAGAGATCCTTGTTGGGCTCAGTGGGGAAGCCACTAAACAACAAGCATGTATTTAGGCGGATGACATGGATGACGCTGAACTGAAGTCCAGTTCATTCCCCATGACCTCCTTGCACCAGGGAAGCCTAGCCGCCGACAAGTGATCGGCGCCCGGAACTTGGCGGTTCGTTGCTCCCTTGCGAAAAGCTGCTTCATTTGTGGGATATCTCATGCTCCCCTGATCAACAAGGAATGTCCCCCCCTCAAAAATGTGTTTCTATAAAAGGACTCTCCTTTTGGGGAACCCTTTTTCTGGGTTAAACACATATTTTTGTTGGGGGGCTCCAGGTTGATTGAGGGAACCAAGTGCAGGAGCTCTCTGAAACCCAAAGCGGAACTGCCATGGAGGGGATCCTGAGAATCCATGATCAATCTGTCCCTGAAGCAACTCGTAAAAAAGGGGGGATGTTGCCCAACATTCCGGAGCGTTTCCCCGTTGTTCACGGGTAGTTTGAGGGTGCACTCAAAACTCATCTGACGTCTGACACGGGCCGGGGTGGACATCCAAGCGTGCCTCGATCAACGGCGTCTTGCCGTACCGATCCGCCTGGTTCCGATTGGCACCTGGCAGCCAAGGATGAACCGCTTCCACAGCTTCTTGGAACTTCGATAGCTCAAGGGTCTCAAGCAACTTGCTTGCGAAGGTTTGCGTCAACTCCAACATGTAACCGAAAACGTTGAGGGATCGGACAGTTTCCTCTAGATCCTTTTGGCGCTTCAAACGAGGGAAACAGCATGACACCGATCGGAAGGCCGCCCCCATCTCCCTGCTTCAAGACATTCCCCGCTAAGACAAAAGGCGGGGCCGCCCCTCCATACATACAATCCTTATACCAAAGAACAAATGCACAGGGGAGGGTCCCTGTATTCGGTCAGGGCTGGGTGTGTGTCCAAGCCACTTTCGCTTCACCATCATTTGAGCAGACCCAAACCCATTGACGTTTGGTTCTACCGAAATAGTTATAAAGGTCTAACATCACGAAAAGAGGGCTTGGGGCACTGCTCCCCCCCCACCTGCGGACTGGTTCTTCTGAACATAGAGGTTCAAAACTCGGAACATGCGATCCAGCAGTGAAGGGCTTTCCTGGGTGAGCTCTTCTTACCCCAAGATGAG